GCCCCTCGGCACGGGGGGACGCTATGGCCGACCCTCGCGCACTGGCCGCGCCAAGGGCGACGGGGGGACCTGTATAAAACAAACCCGCAGGTAACACAAAACACACGGAGATTAGCAGGTAAGGAAACACAGCTGGGGGGGGACAGGGACAAGGGGCGGGAGGTCAGCGGCTCCATGAGGAGGACGCGTGGGGAGAGCCCATAGGGGGCAGGCAGCCGCCCAGGCCCTGCCAGGACGCCCGGCCACCCTCCTTGTGCCCTGTGGCGAGGACGGCTCCGCCGGAGCTCCGTGGGCTGCTCGCAGCACCGGCCCCGGCTCCGCTAAGGGCTCTGCCCCTGAAACGCCACCCGCGGGCCCCAGCCTTGTCCCCGGCGTCCCCCCTCGTGCCCTGCCACCCCGCTGTGATCTCGACTGCTGCCTTTCCCCCCTGCTCCCCCGACACCCCAGGGAGGTCGCCGGCCATTCAGTCGCCTCAGGCCCACCATGAAGACGGGCCTGGCCCAGTCCGCCAGCCCAAGGGAGCCGTTCTCCCTGCTCCCAGGGCTTGGCTGGGCTTGACCCTGCCGCATCCTCAGGGCTTCTCCAGGCACTGCTCTGTCAACCTGTCCCTCTCCAGGGCTCCCTGTCACCACCCCCAGCACTCGCAGAGAGCCACGCTCGGCCATGGCCTCCCCACGCGCAGCACGGGTGACCGGGCCCCAGACAAGCTTGGCGACCCCAGGGCATAAAGCGGCTGGGGACGCGGCTCCCACGGGCTGTGTCACGTCACCGCTGCCCCGTGGGCTTCCTGCAGCCGCGCATGGGGCTGGCGGCTCCAAGGACGGTCTCCCCATCGCTGCCTCCCGTCCCACCCTAAGCCCTTTGAGCAGTCTCCTCCATCCCACGGGTCGCTGCTCTCTCCCCTTGAGGAGGGAGATGGGGGTGGGGGTCGAGGCAGGGAAAGACAGGGCTGGAGAACAGTTTGGGGGTGGGTTGGGTGTTAGATAAACCTAACTGCTGTCCTCTTACTTGTATTGCTGCAGCCCCCCACTTGCACCTGGGCATCATCGATTCTGAACACCCAGCGCCCGGGGATACCCACATTTGTCGTCATCTCCACGTCAGCGATGTCGTCAGTGCGGGATCCGGGGATGTTGAAGTAGCGCTTTCCATCACCGGCGTTAAAACCTGCCTGGGAGGACAAGGGCAGAGAGGAAAAAGGCCATCAGTGTGCAGAAAGGGAAGGCGGGTGGCCTGAGGGCTCCAGCTCCTCTGCAGGCAGCGTCACGGCCCTGCGCGAGGGACCTGTCACCCCGTTCGTTTAGCACCAGTGACCCCCAGGGCAACAAGGCCCGTTTGGATGGGGGACCTGCAGGGACCACGTGAGACTGTTTCTATCCAGATTTGGACCTTCCTCTGTCCCATCTGCCATGGCAGGACAGTTTAGTGTGTGCTGAGGATGTGTGTGGCTATGTGATATCACCAGCACAGCCTGGGATCCTCCTTCGTGCAGGGGATCCTCCTTCACTGATCCTGGGAATTTGGGGACCTAACTCCCTCCCTAGGCCTCGCTCCAACCGCAGCCCGGGGCCGTGTCCTGGTGGCGCAGAGGACGCCGCCTCATGCCGCCCTAGCCGAGCCTCACAGCGGGCTGCGCTGGCCACCCCAACCGTGCGGGACTTCTCCTTCGTTTTCCTCGAGACTTCCTCTTCCCCAGGGCTGGCACGAGGCTGGGCTGCTCCTGGAGCGCCCGCCGCTCTCCAGGGCGGGAAGTCACCGCTCCGTTTACCCCCATAAAATCCACACGAGTGAATTCTGGGATTCAAAACGTGTCCATTTCCTCTACACCTGCAATTTCCTGCTTGCTGCAGACCCCGCAGGCAGGGAGCCAAGGACAAATCAACTGGTGGTAAATTCACACATCCGAAAGGGTACCGCCTTTTTTTCCCCTCTATATACATATTTTTTTTTCTTAAACACAACAACACACACAACGATGGAATAAAAATACAAGCGAAAGCTGTGCTGGCTGCAGCAGCTTGCCGAGATGCTCTTAAAGTCTGAGGTTAGGAAGGAAAAGGAACTAAGAGGCAGCAGCCAAGGAAAAGAACCGTGGTTTCATTATAACAAAGTCCCCTATATGCTCTCAGCTTTGGGACTGAGAGAACACATGGCTATTTAAGAGCTTTAAAAAAGACGAGGGGAGGGAGGAACAGAGTCGCCACCAAAAATCCCTTGGCTGGTTCGTGCTGCCAGTAACTTTTTTTTTTTTTTTAATCTAGTGAAAACAAACAGCAGCAACGGCCTTGTAGGAGCTGCAGGACTGGGAGCGCCGGGCTGTGTTCACCGCTTACCTGCGCTGCGATGCCGCCAAGCCCAGCAAAGTCCCCCCCACTGCTGGCGTGCATACCCGTGGTCCACGTGATGGACTCATAGTTGAAGATGGTGAAGGAGAGCTTGCCGTCTGTGATGAGCACTATCTGGAAAGTGTTCACCTGCAGGAGGAAGAGGAGCAGGCAGTGAGGGGTGGAAGGAGAGGCAGGGAGACGGGGGAGGAATGGTCTGAAAAAAGAGAGGAAAAGAAAACCGTCAAGCAGGGAAAGCTCATTTGTGAAGATGGGGTCTCTTTTAGCCCTGATCCTCCTTTACCAAGGAAAGGTTTGATTTAATTTCTTTTCTCTTGGGCATCGGAGAAAGAGGAGAGGAAGGGATTTCCACAGAAAGCTGCCCTGGGAATCCGACACGAGCGGATCCAGGCTGCGGGCACGGCCGGAGCGACAGCGCTAGAGCCCTCCTGCCTGCGTTCTGCTCCTCTGCGCGCGGGAGCAGGAAACCCCGGCCCTTCCTTTAGGAGGGAAATGCCAGTTCCTGGGGGCATCCCCGGAGGAACAGCTTGAGCGGCAGTGACCTCAGGTGGAGGCACATCAGCCAGCACGGGGCTGCCTCGGTCTGGAAGGGGCCTGCGGGAAGCGCTGCGCGGCCACGGCACCGTCCTCAGGCCCCAGGAAGAGAGGGGCAGCTCTCCCAAGCTTCCCCAGGGCACTGCAGCTCTGAATATGGAGCCTCTTACTTAAACATATACGTTTGTCCTTGGATTCCTGGAGCTTAGAAACAAGCCCCAGAGGACATTGGCCAACTCTCTGCAGCAACTATGAGGATTGAAGCGAGCACTTGGGCCCAGGGGTAGCCGCATCCAGGAGAGGGGCATCTCAGTGAAGGGCAGCAGAAAGAACAAGGACTCAGGGAGACATTCTCAGGCCAGCTTTTAAGCTGTCCAGCGTCGAGACTCCACACACATGATCTCAATGCCACTGCCCGAGAAGGCGTCAGCAATTACAGCCTCAAAAGGGCACAGGGAAGGGAGTTACTTCTGCCAAGCCAGTGCTACAGCTGTGGCAGCAAGGAAGAAAGCAGGGGAGTGGGCCTGAAGTGATGAATGTTGCACCACCAGGATGGCCAAGAGCAGGAACTGGGTTCATTGCCCATCTGGGCACTGGAAAACACAGGCAGTTCTACAGTTTGGTTCCTCTCACCCCAGCATCTAGGAGATGAGGTGACAAGGGCAGTGTTTGGCTCAGCCAGGACATGACCGAGCTGTAGGTGCCCACACAGCAAACGGGTGTTGTAAAGTGGTGTCCAGCGTGGGAAGAGCCAGAGGCGGTGGAGGAGGTTTTACAGGTGCTCTGGGTGCAGCCGGGGTCTGGTCACACGCAAACTCACGCCAAGACTGGACACCCACCCTGTACATTTGGTGGGTGACTGCCAGCCAGACTAACAGCCGGAGCATTTGATGGCAGCCACGTGCAGCCACCCGCCCTGCTCTGCAAGGGGTTGAACCCTCAGGCTGCTTAACCCAAGTGGAGTATTTGGGTTTGGGCTAGTCCCACTCATGACTCCGAAGTTACGGGGCAGGCGCAATTTGATGTTACAGGAGCAAAGCTGTTGTAGAAGATGCCAAAGCTCTGGTTCCTCCCAAAACTCCTTTTGAAAATAAGGCATCCCTAACTTAAGAGCAGCCCCTAAGAGGAGGATGTCCCCGAGCTGCTTTCTCTGTAGGTGCTCACCCAGCGACAGAGCATTGGCCTCTGGCGCTTTGGGACCGTCCAGGATTGTGTGCTGTGCCTGCGTCCCGCGACCCGCCGGTGCCCGCGCTGAGGCCCCAACCACTCACTGGAGAGAAGGAACTTCCCCCGAAGAAGGTCACTCGGTACCAGGTAGCAATGAAAACCCACTGCGCGGAGAAGTCGGGGAACTCGGGAAAATACTGCGCGATGTCGCGGGTCGCTCGCTCCAGGATGGCCCGGTCCTTGCTCTCCCGGTAATACACGTCGCCTGCCCGCCGGTTATCCACATCTGCCCAGAAGGCCGCTACCACGCGCCGGTCCTTGGAAATCGGGAATGCGACCGGTGTGAACTGGGAAACCTCCTTCAGGAAAGAGATGATGCCGTTGTTGTTGACCTGCGGGGGGAGACACAGAAAGGAGAGACGAGCGTGACAGCGGCCATGAGCGAGGGAGGACGGGCTGCGGGCGGCAGGGGAGCCCCGCTCCGAGCTCTGCTCCCCGCCGCACCTCCGAGCAGTGGCGCGGGCTCCCGGCCCGAATCCCGCAGGACCCCTCAAGCCGCGATGCGCATTCAGAGGTGTTGGAGGTGCCCGAATCCCCAGAGCGGACAACGAGGACGCTGCAACCTGTCCTGAGCGGCACAAACACTTCTTGGTCAGCAGGAGCGTCAGCAGGGCTGAATTTGAGAGGCCACTTTTTAGGTTTTTTTTTTCTTTTTTTTTTCTTTTTTTTTTTTTTAATTTCTTCCCCCTCCTTGCACAAATATTTGAGCGCTTCCCCTTCCTGCCCTTTGAAGCCCCGCCGGAGCCCGGCCAGCGGAAGCGGCGGCAGCTGCGAAAACTCGCGGCGGGCGCCGGGGAACGGGCTCCTCTCGGCCTCCTCGTGCACAGCCCCTGCAAGGCGCCTCGGCTCCGAGAGCGTCTGAAGGGACCCCCTGAGGACGTGAGTCCTCTGGCCAAGGGCCGCCAGGGACCCCAAGCTCTCAGGGACAACCTCAGAGCATCCAGGCAACCCTTTTTGGGGCCGAAGAACCTGCTGCAAACGCAGATGGTGCCCAGCCCACTAACAGCCTCCAGATGCTGGTTCGAGCTCTGCAGGTCACCTCGCGGGGAGCAGCCTTGCAAGGAAGCTGCTTCTCAATCCTCGAGCCCCAACGGGGCTGGCGCAAAGCAGAGAGATCCAGCACCAGCCGGGCTAAAAGCTGCCAGCAAATCCCACGAACCCAGCCCCGCTCTTGCTCAGCTAATTCCTTCCCTGCCATGTGCTTCACAAAGATCATCTCACATCTCAGGAATGAGGAGAAACCACGAACGCTCTGAACTGCGGCCCAAATCGAAACCCACAGCGAAAATATTCCAGGGGAAATAGGCCTGAACACTGTTTGTAGATGCAATTCGAGCCGAAATGCAGGTGTTACATTTTTGGGGTTTCATTTTGCCTTTTTGAGCAAACTTTGGATTCAAGCAATTTTCTGTGCGCGCGCGGGGCTGGTCGCGGCCCAGGAATTTGGGCCCAGCCCATGAATCACAGGAACGTTGCCCGGGAAGCACCGGGCTCCGGCAAGGAGCGCGCCGGGGACAGCTCCCGCATCCACCAACACAGGGGCATTGATGAAGAGGAGCCTCTTCAGCTCGAAGGTTTCCCAGCGCAGGACCTCAGCTGCAACCACCTTCTGCTCCAGGCGGGCAGGACGGGAGCGCTCGTGTTCGGCGTCTCGCAGCTCGTGGCATCCAGCAGAGGCAGCCGCCACGCTCCTGATTTACGGCCGCGGGGGACGCGAGCCGCAGCTGGGGAGGGAGCAGCAATTCCGGGCCCTCGGGCCAAGAGGAGGTCTCCAAGGCTTCGTTAAACTCCGTAAATAAATAAAAGGATCCTCGAGCGGCGTTCCGCCTGCTCCGCAATGAAAACATCCAGGCGCGGGACATCCTCCGCAGGCAACACCCTGGGGGAGGAGGAGGGCGGATGGAGAGGATCCTGAAGGCAGCTGAGATCAGCCCGGGCTTTTAACACGTTTGCCTGGAGACAAAGCGCAGCTGGAGGAAGCGGCCTCTGCTTTCGGTGCATGTGGCTGCTTTCAGGCTTGGGGATGCAGCAGGAGAGGGAAGGGAGGAAAAATTGGGGTTTTCAGGGTGATTTAACCATCCGTTGAGAAGCTGCTGCTTTGCTGGTGGGTCCTGCCGTGCTCCTTGGCATTGGCGGAGGGCTACTGGGGCAGAAGGCCTTTCTGTAGGGACACGACAAGGCCACGTGGCCTCCATGCTGGAAATCTGCGCAGATCCCAACGTCTCTGCAGCCGCGGTGGCCGCGCTCCGGGCTAGGAAACAGGCGCCCGGCAAGAGCAACGGATGCCCATGCAGGACGGGGAGGCGGTGCTCGGGCACAACCTCCCGCTCCGCTTCGTCCCATGCAGAGCACCTTGGAAATGGTCCGCACAGGTAGACCCCATCGAGGAGCTGACACAGTTAATCTGAGCTGCCTCCGCGCCACTAACGAAAGTCCCAGCAAGAGGTGACCGTCCCTCCACGCGAGGAGATTCCTGCTCGCAAACCCTTTGTAACCTCTTCGTGGCCGCAGAGGAACATTCTTCCCCTTATTAAAGCAAGATGAGAAAGAGCTGGAGCCAAAGCTTCCTTTAAGGAAAGAGGAGGAGGGGAAGGAGCTTAAAGGCAAGTCTCAAGAGTCGGGGGTTCCAGGTGAGGCGCCCCAAAGAAAGCTCCAAGACTTAGGTGCAGCCTTGGTTCTGCTGTGGATCTCTTGGGAGAATCTCGACATGTCACTTGGCTTCTCCAGCCTCTCTCTCCTCCCACGACCTCTTCTCTCCCTCAGCTTGGTCTTCCTCTTGCTCCAGGTCCACACAGTATCTTGGCACACAGCCATCTAGGCTTCCTCCAGGACAACATCCCAACAAACAAGGCTCAAACTCAAGATGTCCCAGATGAAGGATGACATGGCAGAGCATCCTGGCTTGTCCGTGGAGCAGGACTGACCACAAGGCTCATCTCAAACCAGCGTGACAATGCCCAGTCCAGTGCTTCTGGCCATGTGGATCATGTGGTCCAAGTACTCTCACCGCTACTGCCACATGACAGAGGTCCTCGAGGAGAAAGGGCATTTCCACACCCCCGTTTTGGGGCAGAAGCAGCCATGGGCACCCACGACAAACGCAAGAAGACCCAAGGCAGGTTACAGAGCCCTGTGTGCAGAGCACTCAGCAGAGCAGGGTTTAGCCTGGTTCCTAGCTAGGCTGGGTGATCCTGCTGCCCATGGGCAGCTTGTGCCTTAGCGAGTTCAGCTGCTCCAAATGGGACCTGCATCTCCTCCGGGCCCAAAGGTCACCAACCCAGAGACACGAACATGCTGGGCAGGAGCCCGTGCTGGGCACCCTGGGCACAGAAGGGCCCAGGCCCGTGGAGCATGACCTCTGCGTGGAGTGTTTTGTCCCAAGCAGGTGGGTAACATACAAAGGAAAATGAAGACCCCCTGTGACGTTGGCTTTTCCACCACGTTTTCAAGATGCCGAAACTTCATCCCGTCCCAAAGCAGGAGTTGGAGTGAAACCGGTGATCTCCCAGAATGAACAGATGTTGTCCTCCGCTTCCTGGGCAGCCTCCAGCCCCAAATTCGCTGCCCAGGGACCCAGGCCCCGCCGCGCCTGGGCAGACCTGGCACCCGCTGACGGTTGGTGGTTGACCGACCCACACGATCCCTAGTGACACAGCACCATGGGCTGCTGAGCGCGCTGCCCTCGAGCGCGTTACCCAACGAAGGCGACTGCACGATGAAGCGAGGGGAGCAAGAGGGACCCCGAGAGCCCCCGGTGGCGCCTGTGCCACTGGCCGCGTCCCTCCGCACTCCTCCACGTGCCCCTTCCTGCTCGTGCTCCCAGCGAGCGCAGCACCCAGCTCCCTCCACGGCAGCGCCCAGGGCCGTCCCAGCTCCTGCCGAGCCCGGGCTCATCCCGACTGGGTCACATGGAAGCCACCCCC